ATCAATAAACTCCGAATAAAGAAAGGATTGAGTGACTTTCGTCCTGCAACGCCGACTATTGTTGTTGTTGTCCTTTGCCCACACCGAAACTTTGCGCTCATTCAATAGTCCGCTTCGGGTCGCTCGCAATACCTCAAAACGTCGGCTGTTCCCTTTTCCTTCTGCTGCTGCCGCTGCTTCTTCTTCGTCCTCTTCTTCTTCGACCTTCCCTCCGTTTGTTCTAGGTTGATTCAACAAGAGCTTATTCATGTGTATACTTTCCCCTCAATTCTGTCACCTGTGTGAAAAGGCGCAACCCTTGTACTCTGTAAGACCGATTCCTACAGTCGCGATCGGCGATTGAGCAGACGGGGATTGATTCCCCTCCACCACTTGATCCTCCCTCCTGTATCATGATAGGCAGCGCCGGATCCGCGTCCCACCGTGGCTTCCTGGCGACGTTGGCATTTGCACGGGTGTAAACGGGAACCAGAGAACAAGGCTGAAGCAAAACTGAACTCCCAGAGACAGGGAAGACAAAACTTGTAAAGCCAGCGAGAAACATGGGTTTATTCAAGTCATTGACGCTTTCTTCATTATTCTTTCCCGTCTCGGTCGTTCACCATCTATCACTCATTCCTACTATGCGCTGGCTCCGATCTCGATCGCAAAGGCCATTCCTCCCCCGCCCCTCAATCCTTCTTCTCCCTTCTCATGCCTCTTTATACCGGGATCTTCGACAAGAACTCTGAAATAGTGATCGGTCTTGTATGAACAGCCCCATGGAGGACCCCTTCCCGCCTTGTAGCCACAATCAACAGGCGTGTTCGTCGGCCTCTATCCATTGCGACCTCCGCCTCAAATGACCGAGCGAAATGGCGGAGTGTAGCGCCCATACTGATCACGTGATTTCGCGTTCCCGAGCGGGCGGTTTCGTGTCGCCCGGCGCGTCCCCCGCCTGCGCATAGTTCAGCCCCTGCTCACACCGGCCAGAAGCAAGAATGCCTTGATGTAATTCAGAAGCAGAATCGCATTGTTCTGAAGATAAGTCTTCTGGCTGGGAATATTATTATCTATCGGCGGATCGCAAGATTTCGGGGTGGAAGAGAAATGAAGTGCTAGCGGGAAGACGCGCTGAGTGATGTCACATGGGCTGCGAAGGCAGACAAACCAGACAAACCAGACAAACTGCAGCAACCTTCTGAGGAATGCTGGGTTGACATAAGCATAGCTGGTTGTTGACGGTAACCAAGTAAGGAAGTGACCGTTTTGGGTAATACTGCCCTTTGTTGCCATCCAACCGGCTGAACTAATTCCAATTAGTGCTGCTGTTGCTCCCTCCAGTGTTTTTGTCCTGCCCTGCCCTGCCCTGCTCCAGGTCGCGCCCTCCCCTCCCTCCCTTCCTTTTCGATTGCTTCGTCGTCGCTTTTTTCAAGTCTTTCTGAAGTTTTCTATATCTTGCTCCAGAAAAGCCTCGTGCCAATCCAGTGCTTGTCCCGTGTTCCGGTCATCACTGGATCAATTCTTCGTTTTCTCTGCACCTGGTCTTGGCGTGGTTGTTGCTGTTGTTGTTTGTTTGGGGCCGCTCTTAGTATAACTTTAGCTGCTGCAACAAAACTGCTCTTGCGCAGAGCGCAGAGAAGTAAACAACAACAGCCCAAGTCCCATCCACAACCCACGTCGAGTCCTGGAGGCTCAAAAGTGAACATTGACAGGGGTTCACCATGGATGCAAAGGTACGTTATCGTCTTTTCATTGTTCCTCTTCGATAGTGTCGGTCACCTTGTCGGCCATATGTTGTCCTCAGTGAGCTGTGTACCCACGCGCCTATGCAGCGAGAAACATCTTTAGAAATCTTTTACACAGTCTCACCAGCCTCGAAATCAGAGCTAATCATAATTGTTATCTCCATAGCCCCAGAGAATCCGCGTTCGCGGCGACGAAAATGCCCCCTTCCCTGCCGCAGCCGGCAAGACCATCCACCAGCGGAACAAATCGACCCCTGCGTTGTCGGCCCTTTATCAGAACGGCGTTTCGAAGCCTACCACCAAGCGAGCGGCCTTTGGAGATGTCAGCAACACGTCAAAGCCCGTCCATGCCAGCCGCGACGACGCATCCATTGCTGCAAGGAAGCAATCCACAGCTGCCGAGAAGCCCTCGGTGGTCATCGAGAAGAAGTCCACTGTCCTAGCACAACCAGCCCAACGCCCAGGGGGGATGAAGGGAATCTTGAGCAATGTCACCAATATCACTCATGCAAAGTCCGTCGAGCCATCGAAGCAGGCTGCCAACACTCGAAAGACCCTGAACAAGCGGGCCACTATCTTCAAGGATACATCCAAGGCACAGGCCGAAAAATGCGAAAACACATCCAAGGAAACCAACAAAGAAGCGAAGCAAGGAAAAGGTGAGCCTTCCCTTGCACATGCGCCTACTGCACCTGCGAAGCAAGATGGCGCAAAGGAAGAAGCCAAATCGGATGAGGTCCAGGTTCCTGTAGTGGGAGAATTGGAAGAGCACGCTGCTGTCACCTCTGCAGTGGTAGAAGATGACAAAGAATCCTCCAAGCTTGATGATGACGTCTGTGAGGTGCAAGGTGTGAGAGAGAGTCGTGAGTCCCGCGTGGAAGTTGGCCCTGCAGGCCACGATATATCTGATCCTGCTACCAAGTCTCACCGCGAATCTGTCTCAAGCTCTCACGTCACCCATGATCGCCAACCGGCACAGGCTGAATTTGAGGATTGTTGGGACGATGAAGAGGAGGAGAATGAGGACGATGATGGATACATCACGGCTCGCTCTTATCGTTCGCGTGGCGAGAACACCACCGGCGGCGCTACGACGGTCCTGTTCCCTAAGTACACCCAGCAAGTCCGACGGGAATTAGCCCTTGCACAGCAAGTTGTCGAAGCTACGCGAACAGAGGAAGATATTGAAGATGAGTTCTGGGATACAAGTATGGTTGCGGAGTACAGTGAGGAGATTTTTGAGTACATGAGAGAGCAAGAGGTATGGATCCCTTCTAAAAAACCGCGATTGACAAGGAGGAAGTCACTAACAATACCTGCTATGTATAGATCAAGTTATTGCCAAATGCGCATTACATGGACAACCAGGCCGAGATCCAGTGGTCGATGCGCTCGGTTCTCATGGACTGGCTAGTGCAAGTCCACCATCGGTTCTCTCTGCTGCCTGAGACACTCTTCCTTTGCGTCAATTACATTGACCGGTTCCTGTCCTGCAAGATTGTCTCTCTTAACAAGCTTCAATTGGTGGGCGCCACTGCGATCTTCATCGCTGCTAAGTATGAAGAGATCAACTGCCCATCCATTCAGGAGATTGTCTACATGGTCGACGGCGGGTATTCTGCGGACGAGATCCTGAAAGCCGAATGGTTCATGTTGAGCATGTTGCAGTTTGAATTAGGGTGCCCTGGTCCGATGAGTTTCCTGCGTCGCATCAGCAAAGCCGACGATTATGATCTGGAGACGCGCACTCTCGCCAAGTATTTTCTGGAAATCACCATCATGGACGAACGCTTCGTTGGCAGCCCTGCTAGCTTTGTTGCAGCGGGGGCTCATTGTTTGGCTAGACTGATGTTGAGAAAGGGCGACTGGGTATGACTACCGCTTGTTGACTCGCGTGAGAGATGCTAATCAAGCACAGACACCCGCCCATACCCACTATGCAGGATACACTTACTCTCAGCTTCTGCCTCTCATTTCCCTCATGATGGAGTGCTGCGAGAGACCTAGCAAGCACCATGCCGCGATCTACGAGAAGTATACTGACAAGCGATACAAACGCGCTTCTCTCTTCGTCGAGGCCGAAATGAAGCGAGGGTTTCTTCTCCCTGACAACCACAAAGACACTTCTGTTTTCCGCCGGAACTCCACTCTCGAAGCAGGCCACTATTGCAAGAAAGTCAACATTTAGTGTCGTTCCTTATCCAGGTCCTCACTAAGGCTCTTGCTTCGATAGTCGAGTGCCGAACTACCATACAAGGAATCAATCGACCCACACCACGTGCTACTGACCAGAACTCTTGATTCCTTCTTTCACTCTTTACATTTCCTTACACTTTAATCAATGGACTAGGGGCGATGTCCCAAGTTATGCACATTGGACTTTAGAACCCACAAAAAAGAAAAATGACCACAGGGTCAGGATATCAGATACCAAGGGAAGGTGGAGTTATTTTGATTTTTGTATTGATCTAATGATTCGGATGACATGAAAGCCGCGCAACACATCCAGGCTCGGGAGTTCAAGGAATCGATGGCTAATTATCTCTTTTTTCTTCTTCCTAAAACCTGCCATTCTTTCAGGTTCTGCCCATTTGTTCCTCTCCTATGTCTTTTCGTCATCCCTCCTCTTCTTATGCCCAGTCGATTATGCCATGCCGCCTCGTGATGATTACGTTTCCGGCATGTTTTGGTCCCTCATGGACAGTGACCCCACGACACGATGTCGAAGAGTGTTACGCACCATGAATTTTCCCCTTTCTATCTTCCTTTTCTCTCTTCTGTCCCGGATCTTGGAATGACGTTTGCTCTTTCCTTCTCTTACGCGGCACACTTCGTTTCTTTCTTTTCCTTTTCTTCTCGCTCGACGGATTATCATCCAGGATTATGGCGCAGGTATTAATGAAAATGAATCTTACTTTTTTCTATTATACATGCTGCAGTGGCGTGCTTATCTTGATCTCACAAATCTGGTTCTAGGGATGGGGCTAGTACAAAGCGCTGTCATTGACACCAGCTGTCCTTCCGGCAGGGTCAGTATATACCCAATCCCAGGGGCTCTCTTAGACCTCCCTCAATCTCTACCTCCTCCTTGCTATGGTACAACGACCTCTTTTCTAGAATTAATCCAAAGAAATCACCCAACAAAGCAAGCCGGGTCCCCTGCTAACCGACTCATCTATCTATCTAACCGATATATTTCCCAAGAAAAGAAGATAATCCGACATAAATCCAATGTCTGCGGCACGCAGCCGCCCAGAAAGATGGGATGGGAATTCATTGATCCAACCCATTAAACTCGACCAACCTCTTCACGACCTCAATCACCTGGTCCGCCAGGGCGCCGCTAACACCCCCCGACCCAAACCCAGAGGCAGAAGCAGGCTGATCGATCCTACCGGCAATCACCTCGTCCAGCATCATGCGCAACCGGGACACGAGGACGCCGATGCGCGCCCAGCCGCGCAGCCGCAACCACCCGTCGACGATCAACCCGCGCCCCGTGGTATCGAGGTCGATGGATCCGCAGAAGAGGAGGAGGGAGAAGGCGTTAAATGCTATATTGGCAATATTAGCAGCCGAACCAACACAAACCCAAACCCCCCACCCCCCAAAATTATGGAAGATAGGGGGAGAAAATTTTGGGGGGGGGGGGGGGGGAGCAAAACTTACGAGTCAAGTCCCGTACAAACACCTTACTCGTCGCCATCTTGGTGAAGTAGCTCAGGTACGCGGCGCCGCTGGGGTAGTTCTGGGCGGAGAACAGCAGCGAGCTCGGGTGGATGAAGACGCGGCCGTTCTCCTGGTTGAAGTACTTGATCGTGCGGGCGTCCGGGTCGATCTCGACGGTGCCGGTGATGGAGGCGGCGAATTTCTTGTCGGGGAAGGAGATCTGCGCGATTTGCGGTTGGAAGGCGCCTGCGATGAGGGCGCGGAGGAGGGGTTTGTTGGCTGTGTTGCGGTTCCAGTTGTTGTTGTTGTTGTTGTTGTTGTTGTTGTTGTTGTTGGCGCTGCGTGGGGAGGATTGGGGTTGGGGTTGGGAAGAGGAGGAGTAGTCGACGGGGAGGAGGCCGGCGTCTTTGAGGGAGGTGAGGAGTTGGGCGCGGTTGGAGGAGATGTCGCGCAGGGTTTGATGCGAGAGGAAATTGGCCATGCACCAGCTCTGGGTTTGCCAGTAGCCGTGGGCTTGGACGCGGTCGGACCATTGTTGGTAGGCGAGCAGGTCGGTCAGGAGGTCGCCGTCGTTGGCACCCTTGGTGAAGGCGGCTTTGGCGGCGGTGGCTTCCTCGCGTCTGTCGCGCGGGGAGACGAAGGGGCTCTTGACCGTGAGGATGGCGGAGATGGTCACGCAGGCGTCGATGCAGCCGAAGATCGAGCCGTAGACCATCAGTTTGGCGCACCGGAGGTCCGCCGGGATCATGGAGAGGTAGCGGCCCAGCGCTGTGAGCCGGTCGTGGTCGAGCGCCCCGACGCGGTGCAAGAAGTCCAGGGCGCCCTCGACGGCGGTGCTCTCGGGTGGCGTGATGGTGTTGGCGAGGAAGTGCGCGACGTCGCTGATGCCTTGCATGGCTTTCACGGACAGGCAGAGTTGCTCCAGCGGTACGCGCCGGATCTCCGGGTCAGGTCGGTGAGGCATGCTCGTCTCGGCCTTGCGTGTGTAGAGCTTGTAGCATGTTCCTGCCCTGACACGACCGGCACGTCCGCGGCGTTGCTTGCAGGCTGCTTGCGAAGCCCACACCTCTTGCAGCCTGACAATGTTGTCTCGCGGGTCATAGCTCGTCTCTTTCACGCGGCCGGTGTCAATGACGGCCACAATGTCTTCGATGGTGATGGATGTCTCGGCGACGTTGGTGGCAGCGATGACTTTGCGCATGCCTTTGGGGGCACTTTGAAAGACACGGCGCTGCTCAGCTGGTAGAAGAGATGCATGGAGAGGTAGAGGATGAGTATTCGGGATTCTTCTCACAGCCTTGAGGCATCTTTCGATCTCCATGGTACCGGGCAAGAAGATCAGGATGCCCCCGGGCTGATCGCCCAGCTGGGCATCGATATATCGGACGGTAGAGGCAATCAGCTCGTAGTTGATGCCCATTCCGAGGCTTCGTAGGACCTTGCCAAGGGGCTCGTCGGACTGCTGCGAGGATGGAGCCTCCTCGTCGAAGTCCCGCTCTGTGAGCTCGGGATAGAACCCAGTGTCACGGATGACATCGTCTAAGTAGTAATCGTCGACAGGGAAAGTCCGTCCCGGGATGTTGACCAGACCAACCGACTCTCGGCCGCCGAAATAATTGATGAAGATTTCTGCGTCGAGGGTTGCACTCATCAGAATGACTTTGATATCCTTGCGGTGGCGCAGAACGTCTCTGAGAAGAGCTAGGAGGAAGTCGGTATCGAGACTGCGCTCGTGCACTTCATCCACGACGACGTGAGTGACATCTGAGAGAGAGCTTGCAACATTGCCCTCCGGGCCACTGCCCGACTGCATGCGACGGAGTAAGACACCCGTCGTGACGAAAGTGATCTTTGTCCGCCCTGACTTGACCTTCGACTCTCCTCGAATGATGTATCCTACCTCGTCGCCGACGGGTGTGCATCGCTCGTCGCTGACTCGATCCGCTAGGCCCAAAGCAGAGATCCTACGCGGCTGGGTACAGATGATGTTCGCGGCAGCGCCGAGGTCCCTCTTGATTAGGTCGTCGAGCATGAATTGAACGGATTGGGTACTCTTTCCACTACCGGTCTCTCCGGAGATGATCGTAACTTGATGTGTGTTCACAGCATTGATGATGGCTTCCTGGGTGTTCCAGGCCGGGAGCGACTGGCGCTTTCGAAGCATGGCCTGCTGGTCTTTGGTTGACTGCCTCGCTTCCCAAGACTCACGTAGCGAAACGCTTTGCGGTGTCCCTGGTTGCCACTTGACCTCATATCCTCTCTTGCGCGATGAGCGCACGGGAAGGTTCGAGGTGGTCCCGGCGGGGGCCAGGGGAGCTGTCACCGTCGAGATGTCGCGCAGCTTCCCCGGATTCTCCATAACTGAGGGGAGATTGGTCTCCAGCCAATCCAGCATGTTATAGATCATAGGCTCTCCTACGAAATTCTCTTCGGAGTACTGAACCACCTGACGTATCGCACTAAGACGTATATAGGCAGGAATACCTTTCGCCTGGATAGAGATGATCGGCGGAGAAGATGGATAATGCGTCGAAGGTCGTTGGAACCGGAAAGTCAACGGCTCTGGCAAGTCGGGGTTTTCACCCTTGATCTCACAGACCTTGTCAGAAGCCCGTATATACCTATCCCCGAAAATTGCCTCGAGTGTTTCTTGCTCCTCTGCCCATAAATCATCCTCACCGGAAGAAGCAGGCTCAGCTGGAGCATATCCGCCGTGGACCAATGTATTCTGGAGAATCTCCGCTGAAGCAAGCTCATCTCCTTTCTTGCTGTCCAGAGTCCGCGTGCAGAGATCGGCGGGATAGCCCATAGCAGTGAGACGTTTGATCTTCGCCTCTCTGGCAAGGTCATCACTTGCAAGGCTCACGCCCGCCGAATAGCCCTCAGGCAAACACCAGCGAGGCAGATCGTCTTCCGGCACGTAGATGAGAAGCCATTCAAGAACCTCTTCACGGTCTTTACAAGTGCCGACAGCCTCCTCGACGTGGCTGCGTCGAAAGCCGAGACGAGTGAGCTCGTCGACAATGGCATCACGTTCCTTTTGCGGAATCTCCACCCCGTAGGGGTTCCAGATCGCATGCTCTCGCAGCATACCCTCAATCTCACGGCGGATCTTGCCGCCAAGATCAACCTTGGGCGCACGCGACCAGATGTTCCGTCCCTTGTTCTGCCCACCACTGCTGGAACCCAGTCCCAGATCGACCGTCGTCTCCGCTGCCTTGGCTGCCTGGAGCTTCTCCCGTTCCTTGCGCTTCTTCTCCAAGTCCGCCGCGGCGCTTTCGCGCTCCAGCTTCGCCAGAAACGGGTCAGCTTCGTACATCCAGCCTTTCCCTTCCCTGGAGTCCGTCGCCTTGAGATCCGTGAAGTCCTCGCGCCAGAGCTTCTTATATGTGGGCGGCATCATCATGTGGAGATTCTTCATATTGCAGACTCGGTACAACGTATACGCCGCGGCGAAATGTCGAGCCTCGAGTGCGGTAGGCTGGGCGGCGAGGTGCTTATGCGACGGGGGCAGCTTCATCGGAGGAAGTACGATCGTTTCGCGAGTCTTCGGGTCAACGCGCTTCAATATCACGCTGGAGACGAACCCCTCTGAGACTTTAATCTATTGCAACGTTCGCAGTCAGATCCAGGTCCGTCGAATCGGCTCAAACATGAGACTGCGCGCCCGCTGGCAGCACGCAAGAGTGTGAGGGGGGTATATAGTTCCTGGGAGCCCAAAGAAAGGGCCCAGATACACACACAAAACTCACCATCGTGTATTCCGGCTTCTCCCACTTCTGCTTTTGACAATGCTCCGCGAGCATATTTACAGGCAGTTTCCCGGTCCATGAAGCTCCTCCAATGACCTCCTTGACCGAAGGTTTCTTCTGCTCGTCGGTCGTGGTCTGCGCTTTCTTCGCCGTCTCAGCCGATCGCTCGGCCGCGGCTTTGGCCTGCTTCGTCCCCGGTTTGGGAGCGCCTCCCCGGTTCTCGGACTTTTTCTTGGGGGCCATGTTTGTTGGTGTTTCTTTGCTTGTTCTCGAGAGGAGGGGAGGGAGGAGAGGGAGGAAGGGGATGCCCCTCTTGTAGGCGAAGAAAAAGAACTTGTCGTGGCACGGGGACTTAACTTTGGTTGCTTGCTGGTTGATAATAATTAATTGATTGATTTGACTTAACTAATTGTTTGTCCCGCACTTTGACCGCTTTGGCCGAGTTGGTGTCGCTGCGGGGAGCATTTTAGGTTAAGTTAACTCGGGTTGTGCTCTCCGCATCTACTAGTTAATACTACGCTCTCATGATTTCATTGCGACCACAGACACAAGCAAGCAATGGTGACTCGCCCATGATACTATAGCTCTGCTGCCATGTCCGAGTCATCGGGTTATAGAGCAGACAGTTCGGGGGATGGGAAGGAGAAGAAGAATCCAGTCAAGCGAGATGCCTGTATGTCCGAACTCGAGCGCTGCGCTGTGCAAGCGATTGCGATTGCGATTGCGATTGCGCTGTTGATGCCATTTCCCCCACCCTCACCTTCCTCCTCGCAATACATCCCAGCGCATACAGAGGAAGCTCAAGAAAACAATCACTAACATGTTCTAATCCAACGCCCCCACAGTCGCGGAGCTAATGTCCATGAAGAGCAAGCAGCGCAAATCCACCACCACCACCACCACCACCACCACCACTCCAACCCCAACAAAACGAAGAGCCATCGGCGGACCCCGCGATGGACTCGGCGCCTACATCGCCAACCCAACCGCCTACCCCTCTAGCACCGTAATTTACCACAACGACGACTTCGTCGCGGTCCGCGACCTCTTCCCCAAATCCACACTACACCTGCTCCTCCTACCCCGCGACCCCACCAAAATGCGCCTCCACCCGTTTGACGCCCTCTCCTCCTCCTCCGACGGCGGGGCGTTCCTGGACAAGGTGCGGGCGGAGACGCAGCGGCTGCGCGCGCTGGCCGCGGGCGAGCTGCGCCGGATGCACGGGCGGTACTCGGCGCAGGAGGAGGCGCGGAGGGCGGCGCTGGACCGCGACCCCCCGCCGGTGGAGCTGCCGCGCGGGCGCGACTGGGAGCGCGAGATCATGTGTGGGATCCACGCGCATCCGTCCATGAACCACCTGCACATCCATGTCATCTCCGTGGACCGCTACAGCGACCGGCTGAAGCATCGGAAGCATTACAATAGTTTCTCTACGCCGTTCTTCGTGCCTATCGAGGACTTTCCCCTCGCGAAAGATGATCCCCGGCGGCGGCCGGATGAGATGGGGTATCTGCGCCGGGACTTTGTCTGTTGGCGCTGTGGGCAGGGGTTTGGGAATCGGTTCACGGAGCTCAAGGCGCACCTTGCGGAGGAGTTCGACGCTTGGAGGCGGTTATAATATTTTTTTGAAAAAAGGTACATAATGGACATGGGGATATGGGTAAAGGTTTGGGTTCAAGGAGCAAGGGCGTGGTATCCCTTGTTCAAGTTCATTATTCAATCCTTGAGTGTTTCTAATGGAACCCTGAGGCCTAAGTTGCAAAAGCTTCATTTGCCTAAATCAAATGTGGACATAAATGTACACGCAAAATGAAAGAGCAGGAGCCCCAGTCGACCGACCACATTTTCAGCAGTCGTTTCTGTCAACGGCTCACCCTGTCTTCAGCCTTACAGAAAGAACCACTCAAGGTCCCCTCTACGGGCATTGAATCCTTCCCTTATCTTCATCTTACACAGCCACCGTTCATGATGTCACCAATGACATTTAAGCACGGCTCTTAGAGCGGGAGCTGCTGCCCTTCACCTTGCGGGCCTCGGGGCGGTTGATGTGGTGAGCGGGGATCCAGTCAGCATTGTAGGTGGTGGCAGAAGTGACAGCGGGTCCCTCCACGGGGATCTCCTCCTTCTTGGGCACAGTCGACTTCTTGATGGTCTCAGGGGCCTTGCCAGCGCGACGCTTCTGGGGGAAGTAGGGGGCGATCCAGACGGTGTAGAAGAAGTAGACGACACCAGAGAAGCAGGCCAGGAGGAAGAAGTACAGGAAAAGACTGTGGCCAGCATTGTTAGTGAACATTCCCTGGAACGATGGGAGGGAGCAGTGAGGTCTTACATCTGGGGGTCGAAGATGCTGGTCTCAGGCTCAACCACACTGACGGTGCCGTTGTAGGTGTACAGGGTGTAAACGTTGCCCTCGATGTCGGAGATGACGGAAGCCAGCTCAAGTCTCAGATCCTGGGGGTGCATCTCGGTGGCGAAGTTGAAGTTCACGCTCTCCTGCTCACCGGCCGGGATCTCAAGGCTGTATCGGTGGGCGGTCAGGTTGCGAACGATGCGGTTCTCCTCCTCGCCCAGAGACCACAGAGAGCCTCCAATGAAGTTGACAGTCACCGGGTTGGGCTCATCGTTAGCGAAGGTAATCAGCGCCTGGGTCGGGTGGCCATTGACCAGCTTCACGCCGAAGAACTCAGAGGCAGGGAAAGCAGCCTGCGCGGTGACAGCAAGGTTGGGAGTCTGGGGAGCTTCATCCTTCTCGACAGCATCCTAGAGATATGAGAAAGAGCATTGAGTTAGTGACTCAAAAATTAAGACACGTGAGTAACCTGATTGATTCAAACGAGGGTAAAACATACAGCCGCGAGACCGCCGCCGATCAGGGCCTGGACGGAAAGGAGAGCCAGAGACAAGAAACCAAGACGAGCCATTGTGAGACGGCTTTGGGTAGCGATGGAAGAACCGAAAGAGTAGAACGAAAGAGAGGGAAGGGAAAGGGGGGGGAAGAGGTGGGGTGGGGGGAAAGAGGAAGATGAAGAGGAGGAGGGAGGATTGTAGATGATGATGTGAAGGGGAAATCGGATGGGAGGGCGTTTGCTCCACGTAGGCGTTTCGGTTCGGTTGCTTTCCCCATGTTAATAGCTGACTCAGCAATTACGGCAGTTCCGGCAGTTTCCCCGAGCGGTCACTTGAAGCTGCCAGTTTCCGTGCCGCGCTTATCAGGCCAGTCAATCAGTCACTTTCACTGTGTACTATTGTACACTAGACTATTCACTATTTAGTGCAAGTGCCGGCCGGTGTCAAGTGTCAGTCCAGCTCCATGCCTTTGACTCTTGATTGCAATCCTTGTAGAGCGGCCTCTCTTCCTTTCTCTTCCTCTCCTTCTCTCGTGTTGTAATCTCAATCGCAGTGAATATCTAGTCATACTTAGTTTCTGAATTCATCTGCCTATATCTCCAGCTCGTTTGAAGTTTATTATATATATAACACTGATCTTTGACTCTTTCGCTCTTCCTAACTGACTTCCACACTTAATTTTCTTGTTGTCTTTTTTGGACGATTAGCCAAAAGTACCAATACCGCGATTAAATCTGACCTGACTGATTACCATGACGGCCACCACATATCTTGATCGCTATAGAAACCTGGTTCTCACAGAACAGAAAAAGAACCTGCTGATCGAGGTACATACACAGCTACTCAGTTCGCGACAATCCATATATGTAAACATCGCGTTGACACTACTTTTTCGTGGGGCACAGGAACTCCTGCAGCGAGTGGCGCAGCTTGAAGATGCATACGAACAGGAGAAGCTTGATCATGAGCGCGAGAAGCGCTTCAATCGAGATATCCAAGTACATGAGATGGAACTAATGGGGCAGGTCTCTCGGTTCCAACTTTCCATGGTGGGTCTGACACTATATAGTTCCCGCAACGCAGTCTGTGCTGACCTCAACTTTCTCACTGCATTCCAGAACCGCCAACCCTACATAATTGTTCTCTTGGACGGATCTGGGTTCATTTTCAAGGATGAGTACCTCAGAAAGGGGACACAGGGCGGGAAGCTCGCAGCCCAGAAGCTTCACGACGAGCTTGAGGCCTTTAATGCCAACCAGCTCCCCAGCGCCAAGGGGCCCAAATTGTTGACAAGAATGTATATCAATGTGAAAGCACTAAGCGAGACCTGTATTCGAGGCGGCATAACCACCGATCCATCGTTACTGCAGGATTTCATTCGCGGCTTCAATAGTTGCTATCCTTCGGTTGACATCGTGGATACGGGCGCCGAAGCGGATAGTGCGCACAATAAGATTGCAGGTAAGCTTCTCGTCAGTCTCCATCCTGCATTCAATCCACGCTGATTCGACCATCATCTTTATGCAGAGACCTTTGAGCTCAATCTCTACAATTGCCACTGCCATCAAATCCTCCTGGGCTGTGCGGATGAAAATTCCTTCTTCCAGGTTCTGGGAGATCACCTTGACGACAAGGACCTGATGGGGCGAGTGACCTTGCTCGAAGCATTGCCTTTCGGCGAGAACTTGAATGCCGTCAGCTCATCGTTCAGGACATTGCAGTGGCCGGAGATTTTCCGTGGCTCGAAAATCTTTCCCATCTGGTCTCCCTGGAAAGCTGCCGTGGCCACGCAGCCCCGCTCCCAGCTCACTCCGTCACCCAAGCCGGAGACAAAGCTCTCACCACGGTCTACGAACCAAGCGTCCACAACCCCCAGCGTATCAATATCACTCGCCTCATCCAGACCATCCAGCCCAGAAGAAGAATTCCAGGTGGTGCGCTCCAAAGCGGCCGCGCCCGCACAGCCCAAGGTCGTCGAGCGCAACAAGTACGGGCAACGAGTGGACAGGCTCGATATGAAGAAGATTAACCAGCAGGAAATGAGTCGCCTCAAGAAGCTGAAGTTGTGCAATTACTACCATCTGCAGGGGGAGTGTTCTGTGGATGACTGCCAGCATGATCACTCGCACAAATTGACCAGAAGCGAACATGTAATGCTGGCAGCCATTGCTCGCATGATCCCCTGCCGCTATGGACTGGAATGCAATGACCCCGAATGTACGTTTGGACACCGGTGTCCCTATAGCGAACCGGGCCAGAGAGAGTGCCATTGGGGCTCCCATTGTCGGTTCGAACCAGCCTCGCATGGAATCGATACCACTGTTGTGAAGGTGACTAAGATTTAGCGTTCCTGACCACAAGCATATCTAGTATGATGAAAAGCTTTTGATCATTTGTTTTCCTTTATCTCTTATCTCTTGTCATTCCGAGGACTGCCCTTGGAAGCGCTGATTTCCTTGTAACGTTGCTCCCTTTCACTCGAGGTAGCCTTGAATTGGTGCATTTGACAGAGGTTTGAGCATATGGAGCGGTCTCATCCTGTTCAGATTCATAACCTAACATATATCCAGAATAAAGGTATTGCCCCATAGATATTACCCCCGAGATCACTACCAGGTCATACAAGATGGTGGAATGCAATGAATTAAGACATGAAGAACAGAAAACCCAAGCAAAACCTTGAAAATGACCTTCGAAGCATGACGTTCAGGGTATAGTCAAGGTAGAAGAAGATAAAAACCGTCACGTCAAGCTCCTTTCAAGCCTCGATTGTGGTCATGAACATCGCAAACCGCCTCTCCCAGCCAAAGCAGTCCTCATGGGTACATGCCGGGGCAACATCGCCGCCGCCGTCGTCGCCGCCGTCGTCGTCGACATCGACTGTGTCAATGCGATGCCTGCACCTGACCCCATATTCCTGAATGCAGCAATTGAACGGTTGCTGAGATAATGCACCTAGATTATGTGATGCTTCAGCGCCTTTCTCTCTGGCCGCTCGTTTAAGTTCCTCTAGATTGCCCCAGACATGGAACAATTTTTCTCGCAGATTCGCAAGGTCGACCGGATTTCTCCTGAGGCTGAGCGATGACGAATTAATACAGCGTCAGTCGATCGGATCTGCGTAGAAGGTGAATGATTGTGACTTACTCTACCGCATCAATGCCGTGGAGGTACACTGCCTCGCCCTTGGACACGAACAATCTGATTTGTTGCTTGGCTTGTCCTGCTGGGGGCGGGGGCATACTTTCAACTAGGAGACAGAAACGCCACTCCCAAGTCATGAAGTCGTTATGTTCTCTGTCACTGTCTTCATGTGATGAGGCTCTGGGAACTGGGACCGAGAAGTCTTCCAGGTCATGAGGAAAATAGTCGACCACGCGGACTTTTGTTCGATAGCAGAAGTTCTGGAAGGGAAAGCGGTATTCGATGTTGTCCGGTGACCGGTTGGTATGCTCTTCAGAGGCGATTATAGCTTCGAGACTCCGGGTGGGAACTGACGGGTTGCCAGCACGTACTATTATGGATCGTTAATTTCAGCATTCGTAGAACCTGTCCCTATAAGTGACTGACCGTTAGGGTTTGCTTCGTAGCGACTCCGGTTGGTGACGGGCGGGGCCAGAGGCTGTTGGCCGTCCGCAAGGGCTTCCTTCTTCCGCGTCTTTGATTTGACCTTCTTGGGAGCCTTCTGGTTGTCTTCCTCAGCGGGCTTTCGTTTTCGGGGGTGCGATTCCCAGTATGCGGTTTTCCGGTCGATCAACTGCTGGGCTCGCACGTCCTTGTGAGGTTGCACGACGACCACGTTTGCCGCCAGAGGGTTGGTTCGGTTGGTGTGGACGGTAGCTTCCAATCTCCCATTGACGCGATTCTTTTTGATGTGGACGTTGTACAAGAGAACGATATCTTCCTCCTTGATATGCTGACGGGCGTACGCTGCGTGTGGCTCCCATAATGTGACCGGGAGAGACAATTGCCCAGCGGGCCCCGTCCATTTCTTTCGAAATCGTCTCTGGTAGTTAAAGGTGTCTCCTTCGCAGCCTTCGCCGTTGTCCTCGCCATTGTCAGGCGAATAGTCGTGCAGATCCTTGTTGGAAGTGTAGTCGGTCAGGTAAAGCAAGGCCTTCTCGCTGTCATTGGGGTATATCTTGATCACTTCCCCGACTAAGTCAACGAAGGTCTGCTCTTGGATATCTTTGATCAGCGAGAATTTCTTGCGGTTGTATGATCTAGAGTTCGGCGCTGAGGTCTGAACCACATAGGAAGGTGGAGGACGGGCTTCCACCGAAGCTTTGCGAAAGTCATGAATGCTAGCGACTTTGTCCAGCAGAGATAGGGCCTTCCTTCTTTCGACAGCATCAGGCTCAAAGGGCTGGGGGCCACAGATCGGCGAGGATCTGGCCATTGGATTCGGGTCTGGACGGAAAATGGCCCATGGGATGTCCCGATCCTGCGCAGCCACTCCCAGAGTTCCGCCTTGTAATGACCGGACCTGCAGCGAGAATTGTGAGTGTCAATTGCCTTGGGGGGAATAGAGCCATGAATCGATCACGAACCCATAAATTGCGCAGCAGGATTACATCATGCACTTTGACGGGTGGCAGACTATCCTCGTTATCCCTGAAGTATTTGACCTTCAACCCGTCCCACGTATGACCATTTCCCAGGTTGGAGTCTTTGATCGTGAAGGTAATGCAGGTAGAGGAGCCCCGAGACTTCCAAACACCGGGCATCACGTCGACCACGACCCCGATGATGTTGACATTGCCAGGAGACGCGAGCGCCTTGGTAATGTCCACTAGTCTAGGAGTGAAATTGGCCGGCATTGCGACTGGTAGTAGACATACTACGGGGTCTGCGAGGGATACAAGAAAGTATTTCAAGCCATGAACGGTGCAGGTGTCATGGACTAGATTTCATTGATTGACCTCCACTCGACTGCCGAACTACTGCTTGAATCTTGAACAGAAAGAGTCAAATCGATTAGGTGTATTGTGGTTGTTCAAAGCCAAGTACTGACCATCACATCAATTGAAGCCAGCAAGGACTAAGAGAATCATTTTCTGGGAAGAAGCGAAAGTGTAGAGAATGAAGCTAGAAGACGATCAACTTATTATAAGACGCGTTCCGCGGTTTCGTGCTTCCTTCTTTTTCGCGCGTTGATTTGGAGTTATAAACGTAAAAGAGCATACAAAACCAGCAATTAGCTCGCATGGCTTAGATGGTAAAGCGCAGCACTAGTAATGCTGAGATCCTCGGTTCGAGTCCGAGTGTGAGCAATTCTTCTTTTTGCATTCTGTGCTTTTCTCTCTTCTCTCGAATGCACCGAGCTTTTTCTGCTGAAAATGATGTTTGTTTTTTTTTTGCCTCTTTTCTGGGCAACCAATCAGCTCGTGTACAAGACAGCCCCTCCGCGGCAAAACCGCTTAGGCGGAAGTGGCGCTTGCAGCCTGCGGCGACCGCAAGCAGCAAATCATAAGGCATCCCGTGACTGGAGCCAATCCCACCTCCGAGCATCAACACTTTTTTCCCCTCCTTCAACTTCACTTCTTTCTTTGCGCTCACCCTCCCTCTTCCCCAAGGCTAGCTTTCCCTTGGTCTCCCTTCTTCAGAACCATCCCCTCCACTGGTCTTCTGTCCAATTCTTTGACATATAATCTACCTGATTCCTCATTTCACTTCCGCTTACTCTCTCTTCCCCTCTCTTTTAGCTAATCAATCACCTGTGCGCTTTGTTTTCACCCCTCCTGTGTCCTAGCAACCATGGCCGAACGTTACATCCCCGAGCACCGTCGCACCCAGTTCAAGGCCCGAAACCAGTTCAAGCCTGATGAACTCCGTCGTCGCCGTGAGGAGCAGCAGGTTGAAATTCGCAAGCAGAAGAGAGAAGAGAACTTGGCCAAGAGAAGAGGTATCCAGACCCGTGATGGTGGAATTGGTGTAGGCGGCGGTGTTGCCGCTGAGAGTGATGACGAGGCCAGCGCCATCGAGAGTGAGGTATGCTTCCCATCTCGCTTTTTTTCATCCGCTTGATTTAGCATGTAATCACCTTTTGTTTTGTCGCTCGTGTGCTTTATTTTCTGCAAGCGGTGGCGGCGCAGCCTATTTTCCTTCTGCCGATGTGAAGCAATGAGCTTTTCACCGCTTGCCGCCAAAGTGAGCTTGAGCTGGATAGGACTTATCCCCGCGCAACATCACCTTATGGCCATCCTGTTTACTCGTTTATTTATCTTCCTCTACCGCTTCGATGGCTAACAGTTTGCCTTTTAGCTTAACGTTGAGCTTCCGGAGATGGTTAAGGGCGTCTTCTCCGAGCAGATCGACCAGCAGATCCAGGCTACTACCAAGTTCCGGAAGCTGCTTTCCAAGGAGCGCAACCCTCCTATCGAGCGCGTCATTGAGACTGGAGTCGTGAGCCGCTTCGTCGAGTTCCTTCGTTCTCCTCACACTCTTGTTCAATTCGAAGCTGCTTGGGCTTTGACCAACATTGCCTCCGGTTCCGCCCAGCAAACCCAGGTGGTCATCGAGGCTGGCGCCGTGCCTATCTTCGTCGAGCTCTTGAGCAGCCCTGAGCCTGATGTGCGGGAGCAGGCCGTCTGGGCCCTCGGTAACATTGCTGGTGACAGCCCTCAGTGCCGTGACTTCGTGCTGAACGCCGGTGCTCTCCGCCCCCTCCTTAACCTGATCAACGATGGTCGCAAGCTGAGCATGCTCCGCAACGCCACCTGGACCCTGAGCAACTTCTGCCGTGGCAAGACTCCCCAGCCTGACTGGAACACCGTATGTTTTCTCCCGCATTCAGATGAAGAAAAGCTTCGCGCTAACACCCACATTCCAACAGATTGCCCCCGCCCTTCCCGTCCTTGCCAAGCTTATCTACATGCTTGATGACGAAGTCTTGATCGATGCCTGCTGGGCTATCTCTTACCTGTCCGATGGCGCCAACGACAAGATCCAGGCTGTCATCGAGGCTGGCATTCCCCGCCGCCTTGTCGAGCTCCTTATGCACGCCTCGACCTCTGTTCAGACCCCCGCCCTTCGGTCCGTTGGAAACATCGTGACCGGTGACGACGTCCAGACCCAGGTCATCATCAACTGCGGTGCTCTCCCCGCCCTTCTTTCCCTCCTGAGCTCCACCAAGGATGGCATTCGCAAGGAAGCTTGCTGGACCATTTCCAACATCACTGCTGGCAACTCCACCCAGATCCAGGCTGTCGTCGATGCTGGCATCATTCCTCCTCTCATCAACCTGCTCGCCAATGGCGACTTCAAGACCCGCAAGGAAGCTTGCTGGGCTATTTCCAACGCCACCTCCGGTGGTCTTCAGAAGCCCGAGCAGATCCGCTACCTCGTCACCCAGGGATGCATCAAGCCTCTGTGCGATCTCCTTGCTTGCCCTGACAACAAGATCATCCAGGTTGCGCTGGACGGCCTCGAGAACATCCTCAAGGTTGGTGACATGGACAAGGAAGCTGCTCAGGCTGGCGATGCTCGCGTCAACCGCTACGCCCTGTTCATTGAGGAGGCTGGTGGCATGGAGAAGATCCACGACTGCCAGAACAACGCCAACGAGGAGATCTACATGAAGGCGTACAACATCATCGAGAAGTACTTCTCTGATGAGGACGAGGCTGGTGATATCGATGAGGTTGCTCCTCAGCAAACACAGACCGGATTTGCCCTTGGTACGACGCAACAGCAGCCTGGCGGCTTCAACTTCGCCAACGGTGGTGGTGATTCCATGGACATGTAAAGGCGGACTGTCCGCACTCTTAATCTGATTCTCCAATGATCTGGTGTATTCAAGTCAAGTCCATGCCTTATTGCTAGATCTGTCACACATGGCGGCTGGAGGAGGCTGCGCTGTGGACCCCAAAAACCTCCGAGTACGCGGAGGCTCTGGGACTTTGAACCCTTTCGATCGCTCTTGATTCAAGTTCTTCAAGAGTGCTTGAGGGAGAACTTGCTGCACCGCCACAAATGTCCTTTTCTCATCCCAAACCACCCTTTCTTTTGCAACTCGAGGTTTCGACATTTGCGTTCCGCCGTCCCCCACCCCCTCCTACTCACAATACCGTTTTGATAAGTTCACGATAAACAAGATTCACCGTCATGTACTCTCCCCCCAAATTTCTTTCCTATTACCGTAGCATTCCTCATACACCGGCGCACCTGTTTCATTCTTCCCCCTTTCGGTCTCATGTTCATGTCTCTCCTGGATGGTTGTTCTTTTCTGCCCCTCGGTTGTCTTTTTGTGAGGGCTTAGAATGCGGGTGTCCGTCCATCCGCCTTTGCTTTTCTGGAGAGGAAGAGGGGTATATCGCTAGCTTTGCATGGTTCCCTCTTTCCCGCTGACGCAGAGGGGAAGACTGGGTGGACTGATGATCAACAGATCGCTCTCCAAGCGGTATACCTATCGTTCTATTCAGCGACGATGGCGGGGATGGTTTCCGCTCTAGGTCAGAAAATGGAAAGTTTTCCCTCTTCTTAAATGCGCTAGGTCCGTGTAATCATGGTTGATCTTGTAGCTTGTGTATATCTTGCGGCTTGTAGATATACCTTGGTGTAGCATGTGTCAGTGAGATGAGTGGGTGCCGAAGCAGGAGCATTTTCCGTACACACGATCTTTAAAATCAGGACTTGACACCTAGATGGGTATAAAGATTACCTTGTCACATCGCCTGACACTTTCAGCTTGACCACCTCAGACCCATTTCACCGCGTCAATAAATCCAAGTGCACTAATCCTCTCCGTAAAAATCAATCCTCGTTAGTTCAACCACAACCTCTCCAGACTCACCCACTCGTGGCATGCGGGTAGGTCATACACTGGTACTGCACATGAATCAGAAGCATAGATATTAGAGACCAAGTGGAGATCTCCGAAAGAATGGCAAGTCCTACGCCCCACGCTTTCGGGGCTCAATCATCATGACGACAGCACCAGAGACCAATCCCACAGCCTGAGAACAAACCCAGCCATCCGATTCTTTTACCCGGTGCAAAATGAGACAAAAGAAATAAACAGAGAGTACGGAGTACGTCCATCTAGCTCAATGCCCTACAACCAAACCTAAATGATCCAACAAAGCAAATAGAAGTAAAGACGATGATATAAGTTACGCCTACTCTACTACCAAACAATACACAGAATGACAGAGAAAAAAAAAAAGGAACCCAGGCTTGAATAGACACGCGAAGAAAAAAAGGGGAACACCGTGAAATTTTGCCACTTGAGTTTGTTTGCCTTGTCTCCGAAACAAGCAAGCAGATAAATAAACAAATGGAATATGGACACACACGAAGGAGAGAGAAACAGCATATAGGAAAATCAAACTACAGTAATTGACATCTCAGTCACCCATGACTTCGTCCTCGTCATCCGGCTCAGGGGAGGCCGCGTTTGCATCCTCGTCTTGATGTTGATCGACATCAATGTCAATGTTTCCTTCCTCGACGAGACCTCGGGCTCGGAGGTCCTCCTCGCCGTCTTCGGAGCCGTCGTCCTCGATTGCGTCCTCCTCCTCTTCCTCCTCCTCCTCTTCGTCGTCGTCGTCGTCGTCGTCGTCGTCATCGTCCTCAATTCGTTCAGCGGATTTGTGAGATTCTTTGCGCTGCTTGGTCGTTGGGTTGGCACCGCTGCTGCTAGCGGCGCCGCCGTTGCGAGGCTTGTCGGTTGTGGGCCGGGCGGGAGCAGCAGCGGGTTGTTTCGCCCTGGACTGGGCAGGCGTGGCTCGTGATGCGGCGGTTCGGGGTTTGCGATCCTCAAGGAAGGCCAGGACCTCGCGGTAATTCCGACCGAGCTTGGCCTTGTGGTGAAGGAGGCGCTTCCGTAGTTGTCCCTGGTCGGAGCCCGATGCGTCCAGGATGCGGCCTACGATGGCGAGGACGATCTTTCCGGTCAGCTCGCAGAGCCGTTGCTCCGCCACGATGCTGGACCGGAGACGCTCGTCGTCGAGCGGTTGGTCGGCGTCTTCGTCTTCGTCTTCCTCCTCGTCTTCATCCACCGGTGCCTTCTGGATATCGTCATCGGAGAGAGGCTCGTCATCATCGGCGGGTTCGAGGGAGACGCGGATCTTCTTTGCATATGTCCGTTCCGCGATGCCGTGGATCTTGGTGATCAGGGCCTTGGGCTCGTCCCCAATTTCGTGGACCAAGCTCTGGGTCTGGAAAATGGTGTCTTCGTCGTTGCCCACGCCGAGCCCCGCATGGCGGAGGGTGCCAAACAAAGTCTGTAGGTCTAAGAGAGTCGTGGCTGCGCAGAAGCGGATATCATCGAGACCCGAGCGACTCTTCATGATAGCAGTCAATGCTGCCACGAACATTTCGCGGCCTTTGGTCAGGGCTTCAAAGAAAGCGGTGTTAAATGATGCCTTGCCGGCATTCAGGGTCGAAACCAAGGAGTGAACCTTCCACATGAAGTAGAAAAGTAGGGTCCTGATAGCGTTGACCACCAATTCCGTTTCTGCCTTAGCTGAGTCTTCATCGTCCTCCTCTGCACGGAGTCCACGCTCGACAAGGTGCAAAAAGGTGTTGAACGGCGCCTCCGCAAAGCCTTTACTCTTTCCTTTGGTCCGGGTGGACGGCATAGTTTCCAGAACGTGAGTACAATCGATGATGCTGGCCAAGTTGGAAATTCTGGTGACCGTGTTAATAAGCTCGTTGAGAGTGGCTGGAGCTATCGAGCCTCCCTCTGCAACTTCCTTTTTCCGAGATAATGTACCCAGAGTATCAATCATGTTGTCCCACAGTTCTTGTACCTTACCCTCTAGAGCCTCGCGCATGTCGTCGGAACTCTTAGCATGCAAAAATGCGACGCTGGCTTCGGCAAGAACATCCCGATCCGAGTGGGTTAGGAATTGCTTGTTAATGTCATTCAGCAACGAGGTATAAGCTGTTGCATCTTTTTGAATATCTTCGATCTTGCCCAGGTCGACCAGATGCTCGAGTCTGAGAACAGCAGAGGCGGCTTCCGGTACCGAGCCGAACTTGTTCAGAAGTTGCGGAATGATTTGTGCAAGACTGTGCGCGATTTCTTCCTGCAGTTCTGGAATCTTATCGGTCAAAGCCTTGACTTTCCGTCCTCTCTTATCGATGTCAGACTTGGCGATATCAAGAACACGCAATTTGACAGCACAGCATAGGACTTCAAGAAGAATCACTTCCTGGCCTTCTTGCATCTTATAAGCTTGTCGAACTGCGGCCGCGGCGTCATCCTCCGCGGTGTCGTCGGAAATTTGAGAATGATCGTACTGAAGATATCCAGCTAGAGATTGCCAGTGAGAGAGGTCAGTCAAGTGAGGATAGATGGCCTCTGTGGCAAGAACAAATCGAGTTTCCATGGAAGCTCCCAGAAGTGCGTCTCGCGAAGGGATCGAAGGGTCTTCTCGATGTTCTTCGCTCTCCATATTGTCGTAAGCCTGAAGTATATCGACCAGACATTTGAACTTTATCCAAGACCGTTTTGGCGATTCGAAGTCGTCTTCATCCTCTTCACCGAAGAGTTCATTGACTTCTTCGCCGAGTTCCTCCAAGGTAGAGTCGAACACGTCTTCAACATTGGCAACGAAGAAACGGCCAGCTGCCTTGCGTACCCGCGCCTCGTTATCGAAAACGAGTTTACCAACCGTGTCTATATCGGCAGGCTCAATCAGTCCGGTCTCACGGACGATGTCGAGCAGCTCAATGACCGAGGCGCGTACTGTGATATCTGCGTCGTGAGCGGCCATTTCAACCAAGCGTTGCCGCCAGCGTTCGGTAAATGCTCGTAGTCCCGCGACGTTGTCTCTGTTTCCATAAAGATCGCGCAACTGGTTGACGACAACAAGGCGTGCCTGAGGAGCAGAGTCCGCAAGGATCCAGCCGAAATATCGAAGAAATTGTCCTTCGAAGAAATATTCTCGATACGTGCGCATCCATCGTCCCAGAGATATCATGCATTCGGTCCGAATGTGGGGGTCAACGTCCCGGTAGCGATGCACGAAGATGATGTCCACGCCGTCTTTCAGAGCGTCATCGATCACCTCGATCTTCTGTTCATTGTCTTCGATAGCTGACGCAATCGCATCCGCTCTTCCCTTGTTCACGTTTCTCTTCTTCCTTTCACTTTCGAGCTGCTTGCGAGATGTAGAAACCAGAGTGGTGATTTCTCGAGCGAGATCACAGAAGGCGTTCATGATTGTCATAGTAATGACGACCGCCGTATGTCTAAATGGTCGGCACCTGCTTGTGGAGAACCCGGCAATCCAGACCAGCAGATTTTCGAACAAGTTGGGATCGGTATACAGGACAGAGGAGTGATGCAGAGTCTGGATCAGAGCCATGAAAAAGCTTTCGAGGACGGGTTGGAATGACCTCAATTTCCGGGATTTCGATATGAGAGGATATTCAGTGATTCCAACCGCATCGTACTGCGTCGCCAAGTCTGCCACACGGGTTGGTACGTTGTCTACGTCCTCAATATCGTGCGTATCGACGTCAAGATCGGTTCCGGAGCACCTGAGCATCATGTTGACCAGTTCAGTCACGGCCGCCGACTGATCTTCCTGGTACGCAGTGAGCCATTCCGCGGCAACAGTTTCCACATTGCGATCCTTCCCAAAGATCTCCGCTATATCACACTGTCAGCTATCGCACGGCCATGCAAAATTTGAGACGTTGAACCACTTACCGTACAGCCCGCCTTGTCGAGCAGCCATGGTCAATCGCGCCTTCATCTGCTTTGGCCGCGACCGCTTCCCGTTTGTTGCGGGTCGCAGGGCCAACTGACGGCCGACGCCATTGCCGGCAGCAGCAGCGACCTTGGGTTTCTTGGCCGATCGAGACGACTGAGACTTGTTCGACCTTGATTTGGATGACCCGGAGGTCTGCTTTTTCGATGATGCCTTGCGCGAGGCGCGCTTCTTCTCTCTCAGTTCTTCCTCGTCGGGCTCTTCATCAGCGGATTCGATGTCGTCGGATTCCGACGCGTGGTCCTCACTCTGTTCGCCTTCCTCGCCTTCATCGTTGCTGTCGCCGGTCGCGGCACGCTTGCGTTTCGCACCGCTGGGGGTCGCGCCGTTGCTGGCGCTGTAGCTTTGTGAGTAGAGTTCGGGTCTGCGCGTCACGCGGCCAGATTTTCTCCGATCGGTCGAAGGGGAGGCGTCGCTCTGTGTGGCCGGCCCAGGCTGAGGCGTTGAGAGGGGCGACTCGGTCTCCATTCTGGTCAGACTCGAGGATTAATTCACTGTAGTTAGGATACGCATGGTCAGTCAGATCGAAAGAGATAAATACGCCGAGGTTGAGCAGCTGGCGCAAGGTAGTAGAGCGTACTAGGTTGTTGACTGGATAGACGCTAGATCGGCACGGAATCGGGGAACGCGATGTTGGGCTTCTGCACCGGATTGCGCGCGCGTGTGTTTAGTTGGCACTGCGGGTGGGCGGACAAGGCGGAAACAGAATAAGCAGTAGGGGAAATTGGCGGAGAGGCACGGGGATAATCAATTGGAGGGCGTGTGCGTTTCGTAAGTGGGACTGGACTAGCGGAGAATAAGAACTGAAGAAGGGGGGAGGAGGGGAAAGGGTGATTGGGATCAGTGATTGAGTGAGGGAGGGGGATGGAAGCAAGCAATGCTGCTGCTGCTGCTGTCGCTGCTATGTTAAGTTACGTTACTGAGTGAGTCCCTCCGTCGACGGAACAGGCGACAGACACAGAGACGCGCTGGCCGAGTTTGGGTGCCTGTAACTGAATGCCTGAGGCATGAAGGGGTCACTGATTCGTGTTGGTCACGAGATCTCGTGCCAAGGCGGGAAGAAGCGGCAGAATAGCCAGCCGGATCACCTGACTAACTGACATGACTCAAATAGGAAAGTGCGGAGTTGGTGATATTTATGCCGTAATGGAAACATGGGCTGTGCCTCACTCGGTCTTTTGTTGCTCCAGTCAACGCCCTTCAGCGCCATTCAACTCCATTCATACTCCATCCCCTCTCCTTTCATTCACTCGCTTCCGGAGAGCCAAGAAGGACCAGACTGTGAATCATTGAATCCGCGTTCACGGGGTCAATTGAACCCCGCTTCTGCCTGAGGATTCGCAGTCATTCACGCCCATCAAACCTTCAGTAAAACTGGGGACTCCTGCGTCAATAGTGCGATCTGCCGGATCTCTTTCGTCAACAAAGGCCACAAGCTCCATCGATGGTTGCAAAATCAATGCAGGGCCAAGGGATTTAGAGCGTTTGACGACCAACTCACTCATTTCATGACGCCATCCCCCTGGTCGTCTGGAATTGCTTTTTGAGATTGATCCAAAAATAAAAAGAGCATTGCTGGGGAAGTGAAGAGAGACGATGTTGTTAAAAGCCGACGGATCGACGACCCTCTCGTTTCTTTCTTCTCGAGTATTTCTTCCTAAATCCTCGTTCTTCTAGCCTCTTCCCGCTTGTCCACCCCCGGGAGCTTTCCCCGCAATAAAAAAAAACGTCAAGAAAACACATTCTTCTCTGAAACATCCTTTCCCCCGCTGCCGCTGCCGCTGCCGCACCCCCCACTGCCACCAGCATGCCAATAAAATCCCCCTTTGAGTCGTGCATAGCGAAGCCAGGAGAGGGCAAAGTTGTCCTCTCCCTGCTGCCACCTTCGAATCCAACCCTGACAACCCTGACCTACAAATACCCCCTCAAACTCCTCACCCGTACCCCGGGTTTCGTTCCCAAGTCCTCGGCGCTCACCTGTCCCTCGCAACCCGTGCACCTCTACCTCCTGACCTACGGCGGCGGTCTTCTGCCCGGTGACAAGATCAATGTCTCGATTACGCTCGATCCGCGGACCCGAATGGTGGTGACCACCCCGCAAGGGAGCACCAAGATTTTCAAGACCGAGCCCAACGCCAGCGTCAAGGGCCAACGCGGCACTCCCAAACACATTCTTTCCGACAAGAGCAGTCAACACCTCACCGTTCACGTTGGCCAAGAGGCCGCCCTCTGTTACCTCCCAGATCCCGCCGTGCCCTACAAGAACAGCCGCTACGAGCAGGTGCAAACATTCACCATCGATGGGCCCACCTCCAGCAAAGACCCTCAACGCAGCAGCCTGTGTATTCTGGACTGGGTGACGCAGGGCCGTGCCTCGCGCGGAGAGGACTGGGACTTTCACCTTTGGCGCGGCAAGAACGAGGTCTGGACGACTGATGAGTCGGGCAAGAAGAAGCTTCTCCTTCGCGACTCGCTCATCCTGGACCGCGAACTCGACGAGGATCAGCTGGCTCAAGAGCCCGAGCTCCTGGCGCAGTCCAATCTGATCCGGGAACGAACGTATCCGCACGGTGTTGTGGGGACATTGATCCTCTACGGTCCCGTATTCGAGAACCTGGCCAACTTCTTCATGAACCGGTTCACCTCCCTGCCGCGCATTGGGGCCCGCAATTGGTCCTCCCCAACTGTGTGCAGTGGCTCGGCCGCGACAGAGCCCGCTCCCAACTTCGACTCCCAGGTGACCTTCACAGCGGCTCGGGTCCGCGCCGGGTTCGTGCTAGTGAAGTTCGGCGCGCCGGACTTTGCCGCGGCCAAGGACTGGTTAGGTGCAATCCTGAGGGAGGAAGGCACGGTCTACACGGAGTTTGGCGAGGAGGCATTATTCTGCTTGTGAGCATTTTTTTGCGTGTTCCAGCCTCCCAAAAAAAGCGTTTTTCTTTGTGTTTGTTTACCCCATGACCCACAAGTTGGTCAAATGATACCCAAACTGTTACCTGTCACCCAGGTTTCTCCATAGCTAGCACAATTTCAAGCAAGGAATTTGGTTTGCCAAAAGCTGAAAACTGATACCTCTGTCTAAGATTCTGTTCTCTCTTGTCTCCGTCTTTCTAGGAAGTCAAAAAGAAGCACAAAAGCAACCTAGTCTAGAACGAAAAACCAACATTTCTCCGCCCGAGCATGAACAATAGCGTCGCAATAAATCCCAGCCTGTCAAGAAGCAATCCATATTAACACCAGCGTAGCATCTCGTGATCATAAAACAAAGCGCAACGAACAAGAACCCAAAATAAAACAACGAATGGGCCCATCGCCAGCAAGATAGAGGGTATCACCATAAGGAATTTCATCATAAGAAAGCCACGCCAAGCCGCGAGAAAAGATAACCCCCCCCCTTCTAAAAAACGCCTTCTATCGAATTTCATCTTCACATAGCTCAGACCCCTCCCTTGCATCTCCAAAGGAAACGAAAAGTTTACCTAGTATGTGACTAGTGACTAACCCCACAAATCAGACAACTTGGGCCTCCAATCCTGCCGGGTCGCGCTCCGCAGATCATCGACATTCAGGATATCGACGCCCTCCTGCACCAGGACGGCCCAGAGATGGTTGCGGAGGCTGCGCGGCCAGCTCGGCAGGCCCCAGTACCGGACCTTGAGGCCGCGGCGGTGAGCGGCGCGGATCTGCGCCCGGATGCGGTCGATCTGCTGATCCGAGAGCCGGAAGGCGCGCGGGGAGCCGATGGACTTCTTGAAGGAGACCGAGGCGTAGTAGCTATTGGTCCAGTCGAAGGATTCGGACTGCGGCGTGACGCCTGAGAGGCCCTGACCGACGTTTTCCGCCGGCGTGGTCGGGTTGTCGGTTTCGTCACCGCGGACGGTGATCGCGGGGGCGGTGGCCAGGGCTTGAGGGAGCTGGTCGTGCGGGTGTTCACTTGGCGAAGCGGCGTCCGCGGCTCCCTCCGCTCCGTTCTCGGTGAGTAGGTTGAGCGGCGCATCGAAGAAGATGTCCCGGTAGGTGGTGTTGGCGGTGACGAGACTGAAGGGGGTGTTGCCCGTGCCGACGACAGTGAGCGGGCCGGGGACGAGGGCGGTGCCGTTGAAGTAGGTGAGGTAGCCGCGCTCACGCAGCGGAGTCAGCTGGGCGGCGACTTGGTTCCAGGTGTCCTGGCCGTCGGTCTTGATGTCGATCAGCAGCACCAGGGTCTGGGCGGGGTCGGTGTCGAAGATGCCCTGGAGGGGGCGTTGGCGGTGGGGGTGGAACTCGGTGAGCGGGTTTTGCTGTTCGAGGACCCGGAGCAGGGGATCGATGTACAGACTGCGCAGGGTGCGCTTCGGAGTCAGCGCTGAGGTGGTGTGGCCCACGTAGAGCTCCTCGTCGAACAGCCAGACATCGGCCTCGACGCCGATGCAGCCGGCCTGGATGGCGGAGAATAACGGCACGGGACGCCAGTAGTCGTTGTGCGAGTGGCAGGCCACGGGGATGATGTCACGGGAGGCATCGGTGGGCCAGTGGGAGAGGTCGATAGATTGGGTTGTGCTGTGCGATTGCCACCGCTCGGTTGCACGGTCGAGTTCGCTGGGGAAAAATGCGATAACTATGCCGCAGGCGATGGAGATAAATTGCACAATGCCTCTGTTTGGCGGTGAATGAGTTCAGGTGTTCGTTAGCATTTGGAGTGAGGGATTGGCTTACAGCATGATCAAGAAACCGGCGATCGGGTAAAGCAGACAGCGAAGCAGCAATCTAGGTTTGGGAAATTGTCGCACAGATGAATTGTGATAAAGAGTGGCGGAGGAAGAAGAGGCGGAGGAGGAGGACGAGTCAAGCAGAGGACGAGCTGCCTCGGCCCGTTTATCGCGAGGTGCAACAATCAAGCCGGCGATAAGACCCAGTCCCCGCATCCACAAAGACGGTGGATGGTGGTCTTTGCGACGAAATCCCTGGGATCGCTCAGGGTCGGCCTCGGGATCAAATTCGCTGATTGCGATGCTGGAGCTCTTGGTGTCCGGGTGGAAATCGCTCACCCAAGGATGGTGGTCCATCTGCTGGTAGCGCTCGGTGGGGGTCAACATCGGTGGTGATGGCGAGGAACAGAAAGAATGCGGGAAAGGGCGAGGGCAGATCAGCCAAGTAACAGTAGAGGTGTAGAGATACAAGAGTAAATTCGCAAGGAGTTGTATCTCTTGCTAGCCTGCCTCCCTGTCCTGTAGACAGGATGGTGGTGATAGTGGTTGTGTTGTAGGAGAAGAAGTGTGGTGGATAGGGAAGGAAGGAGTAGAAGAGTTGAAAGTCAAGACTGCAAGTGAAGGATGCAATGCAGTGAGCAAGAGTCAGTCAGACAGTCAGCCAGTCCGAGTCATTCACACCTCATCATACCCTTCTTTAAACCCAAAGCAGCAGAGATACAACAAGAGCAGATCATGAGGTTTATTCTGTTCTCTTCAATTTAAAAGAAAGGCGTACTGCGTCTTCATGGCTAAATCGGACAGCCCATGTGCTGGGAGCGAGATTGTCATTGGAGGAGGAGGCCAAACTCTGATTTACTGGACATGCACAATCGTCCGGTAAACTGGAACTGTAAAAACAACTCCGCTAATCGGACCCAGACCCTGAAGGAGGTGGTCCGATTGATTGGATCCAGCGTCTGAACTATTCGAGTACTGTACATGGTTGAAGTATCTCCATGTTGTGCCAGTCCTCTCCACCAGACAACAACATGGTCTTTCCCATCCTCGTGCAATTCTGCTGCCTACATTGAACCATAAAGGAAAAAAAAAAAAAAAATAAGAAAAAGAAAAAAGAAAAAAAAATAAAGAAAAGAAGAAGAAAAAAGGGTTGAACCCGAAGACACGTCCCTGGCCTCTCTTTCTCTCTCCGCGCTGCACGATTTCCTCTAGCTTACCACTCACCATTCACCAACCATTCACACTCACTCTCCAACCCCTCGGGCAATAAACCCAAAAATTCAAACGAAGAAAAGGGAAAAGAAAAGCCCTTGAGCCAGAAGCAGTTACCTGCGTAAAAAAGGACGCTAGGAAAAGAAAGGCCATCACATGAACACACCCAGGGACAGCCTTAAAGAGTCTGGAATCCCGACTTTGCCTCGATCGGGGATTTAGGGCTACTGCCAGGTGGACGGTGGACTTCAACTTGTCAGGTCTCAGCCCGTCAGCGGTAGTGAATCTCAGTGCTTACACTAAATAACCTTTCTCTTGAGTTTTCCTGCCAATCACTGCATGGGCCCTGAGGATGGCGACATTCATATAAGTTACTCTCAGCAAGTGCCCTCCCGCTAAAGTAGTTCAATGCTATACGGGCGTGGTACACCACCACCACCACCAACACCACCAGGGTTCCAGGGACGCTAATGATACCCTCGTTTTGCCCTCAGGATAGTAGCAGAGTGCTGCCTATCCACCTTTCCCTTCATCAATTGTGGGGGCGCATTGAGGGGTTTGTCTTTACCAGTAGGTTATCCCGGTCTCCCGACGGCATCGTGGCACTGGAGGGGAAACGAGGATGGGTAAATGTCCGAGACTCGCCCCGATGGAGTTGGAGTGTATTCGCTCCCCCGCCCTTGCATGAAAATCCCAACCCTACCAGGAAAAACCCAACAAGCCTTTCTTTGCAAGGGTTTCCATCCAGATGTCATTCATCTCGGACATTCCCATTTGAGGAGAAGCAGGCTAAGACTCTCAGCAGGGCTGGAGATTGTCCCCCGTCATGGGAGTGTGGTTTTGTCGGAGCCAATTCTTGTGAGATGCTCTGCGGACATGCACTTGTGGGTAGGACTGCTTAGGCAACAGCATGGGCTTGAATTGGGGAGCCTGGGAGCGTTGCATCTCCCGAAATCTGTACGAGGGATACTTCTCGGACGAGGCAAGTCAAGCCGAGTGTCGCGACTGGGAGGGGAAGATGAACTCTAGACACCTTTTCATAGCTGGCAGAAGCTCGGGACTTCATTGAGATGGACTGTGGCAGAGGGGGAAAACGAGAAATTAGTCTGGTCTGCAGGGCTAAGTGTTTACCGCATTCGGCAAGCATGAGGCCTTTTAGCACAGTACCAGCACACATAGTCCACATGCACAGTTATTGCTTTATCCTGCCTCATATGCTCAGTATGTAGCTCGACTTGTCAGACACAGATACAGATTAAGCAAGTGATCTTTTCAATTAAGCCCAGACGATAGCATAGAGATGTAACTACACCTAGCAAGTACAGTTTAAGTGGATGATGATCTCTTATCACCTCCCACGGCGATAAGATACGCCGCGCTCCTCCTCCGCCCGCTCCTCCGCCCGCAAAGGTAAAAAAAGTTTCGTCCCATTTCATTTCCCCGATCCGACTCCGATTCCCTCTCTCCACCACAACCACCAACCACCACCAAACCAATCCCCTCGGATTGGATCAACCGCACATCAAAATGCCTCACAAACACAAACGCAGACAAAAAGACGCCGAGTAAGTCCTCACCAATAAGCCCCCACCCCAAATCACAAACCCCCCCCCTCAACCCCCAACCCAAGGACTAATAGCAATAAACAGCACATACGACCTCCCCCCCACGCGAATCGCCAAGTCCCTCCCCGTTCGCGACCCGGCCAGCGCCAACAACAAGACCCAAAAAACTGGGGGGCCCAAGAACCACAACCGCAAGAAACCCGGCGGTGCCCCCCGCAAGGAGCAGCCTCAGAAGGCCACCAAGCAGACTCCCAAAGATGCCGCCGCGGCGCTGGCGGCCACCTCCCGCGCCAAATCCGCCTTCGATGACGATGACACCCCGCGCGCATTCCGGCGGTTGATGCAGCGGCAGCAATCACAGGCGCAGGCGGCGGCGGCTGCCAAGAGGAATAAGAATCATGGGGATAGTGATGATGATGATGATAACGACGGGGAGGATGTTGTTCCGACTAGCAAGAGTAATAAGAAGCGGAAGCGCGGCGAGGGGGATGCTGGTGGTAATAACCAGAAAAATAAGAAGAAGGTGGCCACGGCAACAGCGCCGGAAGCTGAGTCGACAGATGCGATGACGACAGCTGCTGCTGCTGCTGCTGCTGCTGCAGCACCGAAGATTATGCCGGGGGAGAAGCTGTCGGATTTCGCGGCGCGTGTGAACAGGGAGATGCCGCTGTCTGCGATGAAGCGCTCGAATAAGCCCGCGGCTGCGGAGCTGGCGAATATCCGTGAGCATAAGGTCACGAAGCATGAGAAGCATCTGCTGCGGCTGCAGGCCATGTGGCGGAAGGAGGAGGCGGAGATTGTGGAGAAGGAGCGGGCGCAGCGCGAGGAGCGCGAGGAGGAGATGGATGAGCAGTTGCAGCTGTGGAAGACATGGGAGGCTGAGGCCGGCAAGCGCAAGGCCAAGAAGAAGGGGTCCGGGAATAAGAAGCGGAAGGATGGCACTGCAGATATGGTGGATGATGATCCGGATCCGTGGGCCAAGTTGAACAAGCGCGAGCGCGTGAATAAACAGCTCAATCCCCTGGATGTCGTGCAGGCGCCGCCGCAGCTGACCAAGCCCAGGGAGGTCTTCAAGATTCGCGGCGGCGCCCGGGTGGATGTCGCCAACGTGCCGGCGGCGGTGGGCAGTCTGAGGCGCCGTGAGGAGTTGGCAACGGAGAGACGCAATATCGTCGAGGAATATAGACGGTTGATGGCGGAGAAGAGGAAGGCAGCCTGAGTGATTGGCTTGAATTACTACCATTTTCCACTTGGGGGCGGAGGTTGGTCGGTGTGTGAAGAGTGAAAAGACAATATCCTTATTGCAAAAATGGCTTTTTATGTATATACAAAAGAATTCCTTAATGTCCCGTAGCCCCTGGATAATACCCGCCTTACATGTACTGTACCTAGTACTTGCTTTACTCCTGCTGCACTGCCTTGATGTACTCCGCGGCCTTGGCCTTGACATCTTCGACCATCTTGTCGTTACCAAGCTTCTCCTCGAACGCCAGCCACTTCTTGAAGAAGAAGCGCGCCTGCTTCGGGCGAACCTTCTTGCTACCCTCAATGGCCGGGCCGCCCTTCTTGTTATCCCGGATGCCGAGCACCCGCTCGAACAAGCGGCGCACCTGCTCAGCATCGCCGTTCTTGATCTCCAGATCCAGAAGGATGTTCCACAAGTCGACGCGCTTGGGGAACGAGGACAGAAGGCCCTCAAACACGGTCCGTCCGCGCTCGACGTCGCCGTTCTCGGACCGGAACTCGATCTGCGCGAACTTGGAGGTCGTCTCCACGTGGGTGGTGGAGGGCAGTGACTGCAGGGCGCGGGGAAGCAGGGCGCGGCCACGCTCGGGATCAGCCATGGTGTCGAACAGGAAGCTGGCGTAGTTGACATAGAACTTCGAGGACGCGAAGACCTTCTTCTTGAGGGCAGTCTGGAAGAGCTCGTCCGCTTTCTGTGAATCGGGGGTCATTAGCAAAATGTGGCAAACCAAGATCATCTTCGAAGGATATACTAACCTCGTTCTTCCCGGACTGGATGTAGATGCTGATCAACCGTTCATAGACTTCCTGAGTGTCGTTGTATTGACAGGCGCGCTTGAAGACTTCCTCCAAGGAGTCCTCAGTGCCGTAGGTGTTCTCCAAGTTCAGCATTGCAACCCAGATGTTCAACTTCTCGGCATCTTGTCCAATGGTGATGGTGCGGAGGGCACGCTCGGCGATCTCCTTGGCCTTCTCGACCTCACCCAACTCCAATTGGAAGGCCATGTACTGCAGCCAAAGAACCGAAGAATCAGGCTCACCAAGGAGCAATCGCTCGTAGTCGGCCAC